GGTTATAGCCCCGGATTTCGGCTTTTTTGTCCTCTCAGCTTGATGGGAATGCACCTCCGCCACGAGAAGGCAGTGAATTGGGCTCCAGCAACAGAGGCTATTCGAGACGCTTGGTCGTATGATAGCGTCCTGCGGGGTTCAAGGGTAGGGTGATCAGCCACAACCCTAGCTACCCACCCCCGATCACATTGAGGCTTTCGTTGCTACAGGCATGTTCTGAACTGCAGTGGATCTTGAAGAAACATTTTCCGTATCTGTTCAAGTGCTATCTTTTTGAATTTTCGTTATTTCCTTATTGGTTGGAGGAAATTTGTTTGATGGTATGGACAAAGCAATCAAAGGTCAACATGAATATAGTAAAGGGTCAAGGATGAAGTGGGGTAGTAACCAAGCACATTATGTCTCTGTGGTTTTATCCAATCCTTTTCGGTGGATAAGCACAATTTTTAATGGTTAGCACAACATCACGGAGCCCAAATCGAGAAAAGAAATTTTATGGAATACTTTCACTCGGAACTTGTGGTTATCTAAGACTCGGTTGATCAACCGATGACGTTTAAATCTTACACTAGTTGATGCCCCAACTGTTTCACACGCCATGCGGGCGGCACGACTTTGTAAAGCCTCATCCCCTGAATGTTACAATGCATGAAAAGTGCATTTAATTTTCCCAAAACTGTAAACATCTGCCTTAACACTTTTGTTAGATTTATGTAACTTTATTGGTTGATGTTCAGCTTGGTAACAGGCCAAGTGCATTATTTTAAACTGCACTTGGGGTGACTTGAAGAAAAACAGTGTCTGTAAGAGAATTATACTTGCATCGCTCATTTCTTTCGCTAGAGGCCCGTACTTGGTGTAGGAGGAGGGACCACTTGCATTCGTATTTTTTTCTGTTTACCAGCTTGTTCGTGAAGAAAATGAACACAAATTATCAGTGTCCGAACATATTTGTCTACGTAGTAGTCGACGGTACTAGTTGAACAACCGAGTGGGCTCTATTAACTGCCGCACTTGTTCGGTTGTTACCTTTCTCGTGCTTCTATTTGTCTCGTCTCGCAAACTCTTCAGCCTTTGTTTTTCGTCCTCGGTTGACCGGATTGGGTTGCCAAAGGACAGCAGTCGAAATTACTGTTTAGAAGCGTGCAATTAACAATTGTATAAGTTTAGCCTTCTTTTAAGAACAACAATTGATAGGGATCAATTGTTCGCCTTACCGCTGGGGAGTGTTGCGCAGTAATTCTGATCTTGCCAAAGATCATTAGCAGTGCAGGACATCCATCCACTTTTAGACGTCGAAAAAAGTGATTGGGAGTTCTTAGTACTTACTCGTCAAGGGGATTGTCTGAAACAACCTCATACTGTATCATACGTTCGATTCACATAGATTTATTTTAAACTCTTGAAATTTAACTGACTTTAAGGACTGAATGAGTGCCTCAATTGCCTAACAATTAGCTAAACCAAAGCCTGTTTTTTCGTGTTGTACGTCGAAAGCTAAGCTGTACGGTATACGACTACCGCAGTGCTTACTACTACCATAAACTTGAACATATGGGGGAAAAAAATAAGAAACTTTTAATAAAATAGGATTATATTCCATCGAACCGGGCTTTGCAACGAGATCCGCTTGGGCGTGCGTATACTCTATAGGCGCGATACCATCCTTTACCGTGCATTATCACGTGAGAAAGCCGCATTCCTGTGATCATGCAAACAAAAACTGATCGTCGCAGATTGAGGATTTGCTCTGCCGTAACCCACCAAACTCTCTCACCTGTGGTTTTTCATCAGGAAGACCGTGTTCCCTGTCCGGATTCCCGGTCCAATTTTTATTTTCTGGCTAAGACTATCACCGGAGCAGATGGAACATAGACAACAGGTAGGAGGAGGTCGTGTGAAACGCTTAAAGGTCAGTTGTTCAGGTGCCAAGCGCGTGTGAACTACCTTGGTGCGGCCGTGCTTGTCATGATTTTTTCTACTCATACTCAACAGTTATGCCTCAAAGTTATTGTTATTTCAAGCCAAAACTTCAAAGCCGGTCAACACAATGTTCCTGTATCATCCAAACGAAAATTGCTTCTTCACGAGGTTTTCCTTACTTCCAGCAATAAATGCCTGTATTTCCCACATCTGGTCATCGTCATCGTTTCATAGCGATTGCAGTTTGTATTATCATTTTGTGTTCCGTAAACGTAGTTGAAGTTTATGATTGTGAGATGTATAGTGTCCTATCTCGTGTTTTGCTTAACAGATGTTTATCTAAGTAGTTGTGCTTGACTGCTTTCTAGAACGGCTTTGGAATAGCAAAATACAGCGTACTTATTTCACATTTGTGTTCTGTATCATAGGGCCTAAATGGAGACTAAAACGGTAAACAACTTGCTAAAAATAAGTTTTCGCTTGGTGATCCTTCGATGTTCCCGTTGATTGATCTCCTATTTCAACCCCACTAACGGTTTGGTGTGAAACGTAGCTGGTAGTCAACAGCGTTCAAAACAAAAAAGAAACGTTCTTAACATCTTTAAACATACACAGATAGCTTTGTTCCCAAAGTATTTCTACCTAGTTGCAGGTTATCTTGAAAACACCAAATAACTCACATGGAATGTTTGAACGCTTATTCGTAGACGGACCTCCTGAGAAATTTGTCCCCCGTCCTGGAGAATGATCTCTCACTGTCTCCTCTGGGTTGATAGTTCTGGATATGGAGTCCACCTGGTGATGATATTGATAAGCGTGGAGTATACCGGCATGAAACCTTCTCTCTGTGTTTGGTTTTCTTGTATTATTTCACTCTGCTGAAAAAGTGCTCTTTGCTGAAAATAAAACAAAAACAAGTATGTACCAAAGGAATTTCTTTAGTGTTTGCTTAACATTCGGGTTTTGTGCATAGTAATCGTAGAATCTCCACTTTTCATTTGTTCGTAAGAATGCGACTTGTCTCGGAAATAACGTTGTAATTTACAGTATGCAAACAGCAAAATAAGCGGAATCGAATGTAACAAGACTGATCGACAGTAGTGTTAGCAGATTGTTTGAGGTTTAGCTTCGATCTGTGCGGGTTTGTGGCATCGACTTTTTGTGCACGTGTTCACATGGTTCTCAATGGTAGCAGAGAAGATCTTCTGGTTGTGTGGTACACTTATCCTGCTCTCAGTTCCTTTTGCCGAGAAATCAATAAGTACGAGCTGTTTCATGCTCATTGTTTGTTTTCATTTACCGTTTGATTAATTTATTTGGTGGGATAGGTGCTCCGATTCCGTTGTGTCCCTTTAACCGTTCTTCCGAATATTTTGTAAAATAACCCGTGTCTCTGCAACACATACACACGCACGCACACTTGCATGCATGTACAGCTGCATCAGTTTACAAGACATGCTGAGCCGAAACCGTTCATCACAATTATTGCCACTTAACTGTGAGAAGCGCTCCAGATAATTTCGAAGTGGATTTAACCTATTGTCCTAATATTTTATTTTACGTGCAAGTGTAGAACCATTGTGTACTCTTTCACAGGCACCTTCATTGGTAAGTAACACACTTGCCGTGTTTAATGTGTCCCAAACCGAGTCCCTTTCTTATGGTCGACTGCGATCCATCCATCGTTCTATCCCGATTTGGGCTGTGTTAACCATCAAGTGCTTGACTAAGCTTACAATAGAATAAGCAATTTCTTGAGTATTTCTTCGCTGTTTGCGTTTATCTTCTATAGACAACATTGTTATCATGCGATTGACAATCACGTTCTGTCGAATGAGGTGGTTAGCCAGGAGGTTGAATAAGCGATTTTACCACAGTTGTGTCAAGCACAGAATAGCGGGAGTCAAATTTTGCGTGCCACTAATGACATCCATCAAGTTTGAAGTAGCTGCACTTCTTGTCTCAGCTCTTCAATCCAAGTCCTCTCTTCTCTGGCACATTCTTTTCTGGTTCTAGAGCACACTCATCATGAGTTTACGTTTTTTGTACTATAGTTTTGTCCTTGCAGAACATAACTGATTTCAACGGAGATTAAGGTAATCTACTTTTTAGTGTCAATGTATTTGCCTAGGAGCTAGCTGAACATGTTTTAACTGGGTACCACGTCTTCCTAATGCTGTCTTTTTAGCGTTAAGTGATAGCGTTGCCTATGACTGTGGCCTCAAATATTCTTTCACGGATTTACATTAAATTGTCTTTTGCCCCTTCTTGTTCTAACTCACTTCCTCTCATCTCACCCCACAAGCCCCATATTACGTTTATGCTACTTGCTCCACGCTTGTGATCCGTCTCTTTTTAATGTCGTTTACCACATCACTCCAATGCACGAGTTACTTGGGTGTGCACACTTTGATCTATGTTGTCTCCGCAGTCCATTTTTTTGGGACTGATCTCTCTGTTGTATGTAGACCGTTCGATGCCATGGGTAGCAGTCGAAAACAGCGTTGATGATCTATCAGTTCACCACAATGAGTGCCACTGTTAAATGATTCCCACCTTTTAAGTTTGGATAGGGAAGCATGGGTTGTTAGAGTCTGCATTTTTCATGTAATGTAGGTCTCAACAACAAAGTACGATCATTTTCACAATTTCCGGTACGGATAGTTTATGACAAATATCATTCTGTTGTCGTCTTGCTTTTTTTGAAGCTTCAAAGTGTGTTTTCATCTAAATTGTACGCACCTCTTCCGTTGCCGACATCCGCCATCTTTATGACCACTGTTCTACTTCCATTTTTCTTAGCGTGTCATCCAATCCAACGCCTTGGACGATCGAACTGTCCATACAAAGGCTCAGTGGACTGCTGCAGCTGATTTCTTGGACCAGGCTTTGAAAAATCGGTTAAAATCAGGTGAACCTTGATTTATTTCAGCTGTTGTATTTATGCAAATAGTAACTGCCTACTTGCTAGTTTACAAGTAGTCAAAAATGAAGTGGAATGTTTATTTCATCGTCTTCAATATGACTGGTTTGTGTCACGCTGTCTTTGCAATGCGGTGGTTGCACAAAAAATTCAGATGGAAGCAGCTTGACATTGTCCATCTTTCCTCTTTAAACGTACTGGTTGACTATCAGAATGAGTTAGTCACAAGGCCGACTTCTACTCCAATAAGAAATGCTGAACTACACTGGGTAACTGTCCAACATTAAATGGACTCAGTCGGCTTACAAAGTTGCAGCCTAGTCCCCCGAGTCAGGAAACAGAAGGTTTCCTCTGGCTCTCTCTCTCTCAGAATTCTTGATGCTCGTCGAGCGATGCCGGCGGACAGAGATTGTAACAAACAGCGCTTTTTTCTGAAGCACGAAATCACAAAGACCTGAACAAATGGCCAAGAGGTTTGTACGCTACATCCAAAGATAGAATCGGCTACTACATCTGGGAGCTGATGGCGGCCATTCCAACTCGTTTGTACTACTGTCCCATAGGATGGTGCGTTAGCGAAGCAGTTTGCGAAGTGAACGGCACTCCACTATACAACATTCATTGACGATCAGAACGCTAAACAGGGCATTTCACGTCGTAGTTCAGTCAGCCTCCCGTGATGGCTCCCTAAAGATTCACCCTGGTTACTATCGCTCATAGAAGTTTAGATCCGAGACAGGCCCCAATCCTTGAAACGCCATATGTCGTCTGTATCCGACAACCTACCACCGGCTCTATACAGATGGCAAAGAAATTCTCGCGGTAGAGCTGACTGTTTTCTCAGATCCGCGAGGAAGAAATGCTACAGGAATCGCAAGAATTCAATTTTTCGTTCACTGTAGAAACGGTGAGATGTGGCACTTAATAATGTAAATGTATTTGCACATGCGATCCAAAAATGAAGAGAAAAGTGTCCAGAATAGCGTATAATGAACAAAAGCCTGTCAATTGCCTTTTGTTCTGTTCATGTTTTGTTCTGTCAAACTGACTACTTCGATACCTTACCTACAAAGATCGGTTTGTCTACATATATATAAATATATATATATATATATATCACTTTTTTCAAATTTACCATTTATTTCTCAATTGATATTAGCTGAATAAGCAGAAGTTCGCCAAACTTAAATGATGATGCTGTTTTTGTGTAAATCAGAATGGGAGCTGGTGTTTGTGAGGAACAGAGTAACTCAATTCCAGATAGCGTTACCAACGTTTTCTCTTTTTTATTTTATACGAAGATGAATAGTCAATGATTAAGATAAGTCCTGAATCTATATGAACATTTGGAGTTATGGTAATAATATTATAACACGCTATGCGGTCCAACGCGGCAGTGAATTCTAACAAACAGCGATTATTGAGCGTGCACATGACCACAAATACGGTCGCCACGTATCAGTGTGACTAATTTTTCTGTTGTGGACAGGTTGAGTCGACAACATCAACTGTATTCCCAATTAAATTTGTTTTGTCGGCCCTTCGTCTTCTGAGACACCATCAAACTAACTCCGTTGCTGAAACCGAACTGATCTTACCTTCTCCTCCTCGCCGTGATTTTCTGTTATGGGATCCTGACTTAACGGTTGTTCTTTCTATAACTTGTTTGCAGTAAATCAAAAAATTTCTGAGCTTTGCGGGCCCGGTTTGGTCCAAAGGTGGTTCTTCTGGCAAAGGCGCACACCGGAACAACAAGCACGACAGGATATAGTACAAGAGATCGAAACACTTCTCGCCGCATACACAGTGAGTATTTGTACTGGGAATGAAATATTCGGTTGTGCTTTACTCCCTCTCTCTACCGTCTTCCTTTGTCTTATCGATTTCTACGCTAAATGCGTTTTAAAGGATGAGTGTGGCTGGGAAGTTCATTTGCAATTTGGATCATGTGTTTGTTTGGATAACAGAACATACTCCTTCAATACTGGGAAAGCTATGTTCGGATAATACACAACCGATGCGTATGAACTTCACTTGACCGGAACTGTTTTAACGCACAAATGAATTTGGTCTTTGTTGAAACAGTCCACATCCTTTTCTACTCAAGCTTAATCACTCTGTTTACGACCACAGCCTTACCCGTCTTGTCACAGATTCAAACAATGTCGTCATTCCTTCCATTTGAATTTCGGGTCCACATACACCAATTTACTGCTACGGCTTTCACACTCTGATAGTCCAGGGGGATAGCTTATCGGTTCTTGTGATCAGTTATACAGTCTTTGAAACTGTGGTCTTTCTCTTCTTTTCTTTGGTGGCCTGTTCTGCAATGTTATACTGTGCCTCCCTGGAGTTAAAATTGTGTACCGCAGATAGTGTTGAATGTGTTCAACGCCACTAATGTTCTTCGACAGTCTGGTTAAGTTTCGACAATTTTGGTTGCTCTTACTCCTTATGAACTTCGATTAATTTGCTCGTCTGTGTCAGATGGGGTGTTTCCTCGTAAATGACCGATATAAGGTCTCTTGCAGTTTGTCGTCTTCACTCAAACAAAGCAGCAGGCTAATGGAATTTTGTTGTCACCCCTCTCCCCCCCCCCCCCCCCCCC